GAAAGTAACCATTTTAGAAATACAGATCAAAATTACAAGTGGCACAACGGAGAACTGACCTTATAAAAAGCACAGGAGGAGACATAGTGGCTAGAATTAAGAAATGCAAAGAAGGGACGCATGAGTGGCTCAGTTGGTTAAGCATCTGCCTTCTGCTCAAGTCCATCTCAGAGTCCCAGGATTGAGCCCCGCATCGGGCTCCCTGCTCAGTGGAGAGCCTTTCTCTCCTGCTGCTCATGCTCTCTCTCTCTCTCATTCCCTCTCAATCTCAAATAAATAAATAAAATCTTAAAAAAAATTAAAACAAGTAGAAAGGATTCAAGAAAAATGACAAATAAAAGGCAGATAAAGGAAATCCAGCATTCTTATAGTGGCGTCTGTGAAATGGACAGAGCAAATGTTTTAAGCTGTAATTAGGTACTTTTCTGAAATGAACGACTTGAACACACATTATTGAAAGGGTACGCTGTCAATCTGAGGGTTTTGGAGGGGCTGGGGTGGGAGGTTGGGTGAACCTGGTGGTGGGTATTAAGGAGGGCACGTATTGCATGGAGCACTGGGTGTGGTGCATAAACAATGAATTCTGGAACACTGAAAAGAAATTTTAAAAATTAATAAAAATTTTTTTTAAAAGGGTACACTGTGGGGACACCTGAGTGGCTCAGTCAGTTGAGTGTCTGCCTTTGGCTCAGGTCATGATCCCTGGGTCCTGGGATCAAGTTCCGTATCGGGATTTCTTGCTCAGTGGGGAGCCTGCTTCTCTCTCTTCCTGCAGCTACCCCTGCTTGTCCTCATACACTCTCGCTCTCTGACAAATAAATAAAAATCTTTTTATTTATTTATTATTCTCTAAATAAATAAATAAATAAATAAATAAAAGGGCATGCTGTGTAACTGGGAAACTGACCAAGAATCATCAAACGAACAAAGGCTATAGGAAAAAAGGAATTATTGGTGCATGTAGCCATAAGGATAAGGAAAGAAAACCAGGTTGGCATCAGATTTTCAAACCACAAAAGAGTCGAAAACTGTTGAGTGAGGTTGGGCCAGGCAAGAGGAGAGGCAGCAGGAGGAGATCAGAAACTAATTTTATTATTTTTTTACAATAGAATCATTAGCGACCTTTTAAAGAAAGAGATGACCGAGGATGTTACATGATGATACATGTGTAATAGTAACTAGGAGAGCAAAAGTCATGCAGAGATTAGTCAGAAAATATTACCGTGCTGAAGTTATAGAAGTGAATTTGGGTTTGGTTTTATTCAGGAGGCAACTGCTTTCAGTCCAGAGTACAGCAAATTACGCTTTGAAGTTCAGAATTGTTATTGTAATCAGATATTGGGCAGAATTAGAAATGTCAGTCCAATGTGTATGTTATTGTTTACTGTAAGCTGTTTGTTTCCATAATACTTTTTTGTCCAGGGGAATAAAATGGAAATATGAGAGGGTAATCTGGTTAACTCTTTTTTTCTTCAGTGGTTGTATAATAGATTGTTTCAATCTCATAATTATGTAATAAACCAAATGCTGGTGTTTAAATACAAAATCCAAGTAAAGAATCATACCCAATCCAAATAAAAGCCATACCTTTTCTAATTATGTGAACTAATTACTTAGGAGGGATGAAAATTTTAGAATTGTAAAGAAAATCCCTAATAGAATGTCCCTTCTAAGAGTTCTTCTGTAGGACATTTTTTAAAAAATTGTAATCTTCTCTCATCACTCATCCTGGAAAAATCACAGCAACAAAACATCTCCTACATCAAGATATATCTGACTTCACTTTTAAAATTCAGAATGAATGCATTTTCAGCCTAGGGGCCTCCAGACATGTTTATAAACAGACTTACCATTAGAAAGCTCAGCCAGTCTTCTGAGATTCACTCAGTCAGAATTTTTTTTAGCGTCACGTAATGACCCAGCTTGGTTGGTTCTTAAAGGGGGTTATGTTTTAATGTATTCCCTCTTTTTTTGAATGAGGTTCTGTTTTTTATATTTGTTTCTGCTCAAAGCCAAAGAGCACTCCCAGCTTAACTGCACTTCAAATAAAAGGTCTGTGTATATTTTTGGGACCTTAAAAATAATGTGAAATTGAGCCTCAAGCTCCTATGAAGATGAAAGAGGTCATGAATTCTTATTGGAAACCTGTTCTTGGGGCGCCTGGGTGGCTCAGTCGGTTAAGCATCTGCTTTTGCTCAGTCATGATCTTGGGGTTCTGGGGTCAAGCCCCACATAGGGCTTCCAGCTCAATGGGAAGTCTGCCTCTCCCTCTCCATCTGCCTCAGCCTCTCCTGCTTGTGCGCTCTCTCTCGCTCTCTCTCTTTCTCATGCTCTCTCTGTTTCAAATAAATAAAATCTTTAAAAAAAAAAAAGTTGATGCAAAAGTTGGGTATTCAACATGGATGGGACTGGAGGAGATTATGCCACTGAGTGAAATAAGTCAAGCAGAGAACGTCAGTTATCATAGGGTTTCACTTGTGGAACATAAGGAAAAGCATGGAGGACATTAAAAGGAAGGGAAAATGAAGGGGGGAAAATCGGAGGTGGAGACAAACCATGAGAGACTGTGGACTCAGAAAGAAACTGAGGGTTTTGGAGGGGAGGGAGTCGGGGATGGGTTAGCCCAGTGATGGGTATTGAGGGCACAGACTGCATGGAACGCAGGGTGTTATACACAAACGATGAATCATGGAACACGACATCAAAAACTAATGACATGCTGTATGGTGACTAACATAATAAAAAAGAAAAGAAAAAGAAAACCTGTTCTTCCCTCACCAAGAACCAACGTGAGACCAGAAAGCTTCTATGCTGTTTCTTCAGGGCAGTTTGTTTTCTAGATCACCTTTCACACCATTCATTTGTGTGCACAGGATATCTCTGACTCTTCTCCCTGCTCTGAGTGGGCCCAAGGCTTTGGCTCTGGTCCTTCTGAGATCAGCCCTGCAAGCTCCAAGCTTTAGGCTTCCTAGGAAGCTTGAGATTTCCTTGGGGTGGTGCCTTCAGTGTTTGCTTCTATCCTTGGACTCCTATTCCTACTACTTCTCTGCCCTTACATGAAGTCTTTACTTTTTAAAAACGAAACCATCTATTTAGAGGGTATTATTAATATTTTAATCTAACATTTTTTTAAAGATTTTATTTATTTGAGAGAGAGACAGTGAGAGAGAGCATGAGCAAGGAGAAGGTCAGAGGGAGAAGCAGACTCCCCATGGAGCTGGGAGCCCTATCCCAGGACTCTGGGATCATGACCTGAGCCGAAGGCACTCGTCCAACTAACTAAGCCACCCAGGCGTCCCAATCTAACATTTTTTAGTAGGATTTCAGGATTTCTGGTTCATCATATCGCTGGAAACTGAAGTCTTAACCTCTTGATTTGCAAAAATCTATCTTAACTTGTACACTTGGGTAATTTTCCAGGATTGAAGGCTTACTCCTCCGAGGGGAAGGAGAAAGAATTTGTCAGCAGCAGTCTCCAGTAGACTAACAGTATTTCAGCAGTCAGATCCATGAGTTTAACTGGTTACCCTGTTTCGACTGTCTTTGTTCAAGGCCCTCTGGCTGGCATCAGCCTTGTAGAGGGAAATAGTTTAGTATAGATCTGTGTGCTTGACGCGCTTTCTCCTTACCGCTGAGATGCCTAAAACGAATTAGGTGCTAGAGAGAGCTTGACACAGTGTGTATGAGAGTTCTCTGCAAGTTTGGGGAAAATAAGCAATGAGTTCATTAGGCATCTATAGATTTTGGAGTTAGAATGCAGATTTCTTAGAATAAGTGATAGAAAGGCACAGAAATAGTTAAAGATAAATCAGAGTTTCACCTATGAATCTTCTCATGTTAGAGTTTAATCTCTTGCTAGTATTCCGTATAAATGAAGTGGAATTATTTTCTGTCCTGTTACAAATTTAGATCCTTCTCTCCCTTTTCTTTATGTAACCTGTTGTGGTGAGTGATAACACATGGAAAAATTCACCTCTTCCAGACCTTCTCTGAATCTCTTCTTGTTACTTGCTTCACCTGCCTTTCTAGAATAATTGATACCAACCTCTGTTTTTCCTTCTAAATGAATCTGCCTGCTCTAATAGTAATGAAAGCTTCCCTTGTGAGTGCTGCATGTGTGACTAGACACAGATATAGATCACATTTATTCTTTATTACCTTTGAGATAGAAGTAAGTACTCCATTTTCCAGATGAGGAAACGGAGACATACGGAAGCAAAGTAACTTGGTCCAACACTTACCGTGACTAAATGGCAAGACTAGGATTTAAAGTGGATATGACCCCCTCCCCACTATCTTGGTAACTATGCTGTACTGGCAAGAGCATTACATTCTTTACTTCTGTTACTGCTCTAGTCCCTGAAGTGGTTTCTAGCTCATAGAAAATCTAAGTGTTTCAGATATGCTTGGGGAGCATGTACTGAATGAAAAAAAGCTAAACATTGGCACACTGCTTTAATGGGAACCTACATGAATTTGGAGTGATCTCCAACTAATATTTCCAAACCCACCAAAGTTTTGAGTCCGTGACAGTAAGGACTAGGAGTGTGGCAACTATCATATTCTAAGTATGTGTGCGCCTACACGCACACACAATACAAGATGTATTAGGTAAGTAATTGTCCTAGAGCTAGAACTTTAATACATATTGCAGAAACATGTATCAAAATATTCAGGTATTTGTGTCTCTAAGCTATCACAAGATTTCCATCACTTAAGCTTAGGGGTGAGCAGGCTGCTAACCACCTAGAGGCCCAATCCAGCCTCCCTCCTGTTTCATAAAGTCAAGGTTTATGGGAACCTGGGCATGCCTGTTTGTCTGCGTGCTGTCTGTGGCTGCTTTTTTGTTACGGGTAAGAGTTGAGTGGCTGCAACAGAGACGACATGGCCAGCAAAGCCCAAAGTATTTACTCTATGACTCTGTGGAAAATTCACCGACTTCAGGCACAGGTCGCTGTTGTTATAGGACTTGGCTAACTATTACTCTGCTCTCTTTCAAGGGTCTTCATGATAGATTTGAAATTCAGCCAGGTGATGCTTGTCTGTTCATAAATGGACTTCGTGTGGATATGAGTGCTTATGATCCTTTTAGGTAAGTGTTAAATTACTGATAGAAACTATGATTTATATGAAGGAAAATATTGTGAACTTAGTGTTTCCCAAAATGCAGATAATCACTTTAAAAGTAAAGCAAATACATATTTTTGTTCAAAACACTTCTGTTACTTTGCTAGAAAACTCTCAAGTGTCTTAGAATGCAGGCCTGGGAGAGACCCTGGAGACATGTGCTCAGATGTGAAAACTCAAGTTTCTAAACCTTCATCTGTACTTGCCGCATTGTTGCAAACTGTCTTTCCTTATAGTTCTGTCCTTTAGCAGGACAGTTCCATGGGACTGTGCTGAGCCGGCAGGGACTCTACCCTCCAGGAAGGAACTGAAAGGAACACAAGGCATTTTCCCAGAAGAATGGAATTAACAGAAAGAGTTTAAAGTGCTTGTATTTGTCAGAAAGGATATTTGAAATTGTAGCATTCAGGTTTCAGCATTCTGTTTTCATAGGTCCAAATAAAAAATTCTTCCAAAATGCCCTAGAGTAGGGGCGCCTCGGTAGCTCAGTTGGCCACTGCTCATGTGTCCTCTCTCTCTCTGTCTCTCTCTCAAATAAAATCTTTTTTAAAAATGCTCTAGGGCAAAATTAGAAAGTCTTGTATTTGTCATGAGCACTGATCCACAAATTAGTCATGGGCCAAACAAGAAAAACCAAACTGAATTTATTTTACTTTTAAAGAGAAGCATACAGCTACTTTAAAAATTAGTATTTATAAGATAAATTTAGTAAACACGATACTTAGTTCAGATATTCAGTTTTAATTCAATTGAATATACTGTCATTGAACTTCAATTAAGTAAATGTTCATTTCATTTTCTTACCAGTTGGGGAAGCATAGGAAAATGTAGAAAAGACTGAGAAATGCAGTAGCACAAATGAAGCTTTTCTCTTTATTTAGTTGGATGCTTGGGAAAAATGATAACTAAGATACACAGGATAAGCCCTCTCCACAGCAGGAGTAGAGCCCTTGTTAGCTGCTGGCCTGCAAGCCTCAGCGGGACAGGAATTCCATCTGTGCTCAGGAATGGTGAGAACAGGTTCAAGAGAGGGAGTAAGTCGGTGGGTAGATTTCGGGAAGGTTTTCGTAGCAGGAACGTTTTGCCCAATTACTTAGAAAGGCTGTAAATTATTCAGGAAACACAGCCCCGTTAGCTCATCTAGCTGGTCAGTGGTGATCTGTGTGACTTGGGACACATTTTGTTCCTCACTGATGTGATCACTGGCCGTAGCTCCTCTAAGGCCCTTGCGGGAGGACAAGATGTGAGGGTGTTTGTATCTTCTGACACTTTTAGCACAAAATAAATTCCCAGAAAGAAGTCAGAACCTAGAGAATAAAATCAGTGTGGAGCCTAAAAGAAAATGATTCAGGCAAGAGGAGAAGGAAGGAAAATGACATGTTACTGAGGTTATATCCTAGATCCAGAGAGAGGTCCCGTGGGACTAGTACTGCACAATTCCCTGTTTAGGGACCGAATGGGAGTGAGGAATTATTTTATGCTTTTTTCCTAGCGCCCGTCTCTCACTGCGTTTTGGGTTGTAGGGGACGGATACAGTCTTTGCCTTCGGTCCCTGGATGTAGTGGGAGGAGCCGGAGCCTCCATGAGTATGGTCAGCGCTGCTTGAGTCCAAGGCCAGGTCCAAGCCTGGCTCTCATCCCCTAGAAGGTTAGCAGCGGGAGGCCGAGGCTGTGACCCGGGAGGAAGGCAGGTAGGGCCGAGTAAACTTGAGAAGGTCCATAAATGGTGTCTCACATTCTCTACCCTAGAGCCACTGACACATCTATTTCTCTAAGCATAATCACCTCAACCACAGATTTGAGCAGACAAACTGGTGCAAAGTGGATGTTAATCATTTTGATAGCCAACCTGTCCTGCTTGAGCATCCCCACAGTATAACTACCAGACAGAAAGATATAACAGAGGTATCTTGAGATCCTTACTTGTGTGGTTTTCCTCTGTATCTTTTTTTTTTTAATCATTTTTTAAATTTATTTTCAGCATAACAGTATTCATTGTTTTTGCATCACACCCAGTGCTCCATGCAATCCGTGCCCTCTCTAATACCCACCACCTGGTTCCCCCAACCTCCCACCTCCCCCCACCTTTCAAACCCTTCACATTGTTTTAAAGTTGTCTGGCTCGGAGTCCTCTGGGGCTCTTGATAAAATATGTATTTGTAATGCATGAAACATTAAAATTCAGAATTATAAAATCAGTATTACAATTCAGCTCAGTGACTATCTGAGTGCCTACTGTGCTATAGGAACTGGTAGATGTTGGGGTGTAGTGGTGAAGACGCGGTCTGGTGGGGTAACAGATAGTAGATACATAATGATAGTGCAGGAAGGTTTGCAGGGCTCTAGGAGTGTAAAACTCTGGAGATTTAAAGTAGCTCTTGATGGAACATGGGGAATGTCAGATTTCTTCAAGGATGGGATCATTTAAGCTAACACTTAAAGGATAGATAAGGCAGAGTGGGGAGTGGGTTCTGCAAGCAGTGGCCCATTTGAGAAAATGAAAATCCTGTCCTGTGGCCAGGCTGTGGAGGGAGGAGGAGCTGGAAGAAGCTGCGGTCACCAAGGTGGGTAAGGGGCAGACTGTGCCACCAGGCTTCGGATTTTCACCTTTCCTCTCAAAGGCAGGAGAAGCCGATGAAGGGCTCTAAGCAAATCTAAAGATAGTAACTATTTAAAAGAGAGGCATGAGAAATTATATTAATTTTTTCAAAATCCAGAGATATAAGGAGTTTTCCTGATAAATAGACCTAACACATTTAAAGAACCATGTTTTTTTAATTGGTAGCCCAAATTCAAGATTTAAAAAGACCAAGGAAGAAACATGCTTATTGAGGGCAAGTGTGTGCCCCATAGTGAATTAATTTAATCTTTATGCCTTATAAAAGGATTCTCACCATTATATTTTTTAGATGGGGAAACGAAGACTCAAGTGTCACACAAAGACAGGGACACAGCTGGCAAATAGTAGCAGGATTCAAAATCCCATGCTCTTTCCGGTATACCCTGGTTTTCCTTGGAAACTAGGTTGAGATTACAAAAATGGTAGATACAAAAGCTATGGGGAATATTAAAGTTCTATTGCCCCCAAAAAGTGTCTGATCAGTAAGCATCATAAAATGGAGAGAACATTGGCAATGCAATCCAGAATTCTTATTTTACACGTAAGAGAATTTAGACCAAAGGGGTTAAGAACTTCAAGAAGCCATGTGTGAAGTAGCATTGTAACCAAAACTAAATCTTATTAGAAGGGTGATTTGTGGTATTTAAGCTAGTGCTCTTTTTACCACACTTATCCTCTAATAGGTTGGAGGGGAGGCTGAAAAGTGTGCTTTGAAAGGCAGTGGTCAGAACTGCCTTAGGATACAGACTTTCAGAGCTAAGTCCTCCAGGCCAGCTTGAAACACTTATTAAAAAAAAAAAAAAAAAAAAAAAAAAAAAAAAACTGCTTTTGTACAAGTTCAGGTATTAGATCTCTACTTTTTTAATATAGATCTCTAGGGGTGCCTCTATAAATAAAAAAAAATTATTTATTTGAGAGGGAAAGAGACAGAGATAGGGACAGAGATAATGACAGAGTAGGAGTGGGAAGGAAAGGGAGAATCACGGGGGCTTGATCCCAGGACCCCAGATCATGACCTGAGCCAAAGGCAGATGCTTAACCGACTGGAGCCACCTAGGTGCCCCTAAATAAAATGCTTAAAAATAAAAATAAATGTAGATTTCTATAGACCTCCCTAAGAATGGTATTCTAAAATCTATATATTGCTTTATTCTGATTCTGTTCATTTCTGAAAAGCGAAGTGATTTCCATGATTGGATTTTTTTTAAGGAGGCAATTAGGTTACATATTATAAATAAGAATTTTAACACTTGGTTTCAAAAAGTAATAACGTCCTTCCTTGCCTGGTAAACTTTTACTTTTCCAAATACAAGGACACTTTACCACAATCCGTAAAGCCTTACAGCTAAGGGAAGTGCTGTCTTCCCACAGCATTCACATCCCCGCTCTGTGCATCAGCTGCGGGACCTGGGCAGGAGACCACCTGTCTGGGCCTTCCTGGGACTTCCTGGGGGAAGACAGGGTGAGAGGTGCTCTATTTGGGAAGAACAAGGCACTTACCTGGCACACATGTGAGCTTCTTCAGTAGAAACTTAGAGACTTAAACTGCCCAGACTTTTTGCCAGTAGGATTATCTGTTGATGTTATTTTTTAGCTATAATATTTTCTGTCATGTTTAAGCGCTCTCAGAGTATTATATATATGATTCGAAATTTTAATATGTTTTCTAAACAAATGTGAACTTTCATGCTTTAATGGCTCTTTTCTGTGCTAAAATTTTATATTTTAGGTCCTATTTGATCTTACCTTGTTTTAATAGTAGATTTACCAAAAGAGTAACCTATTGTACTATTCCTTTCATTTTTGGCTCACTTGGGTGAGCGAGCATATCTTCACTTCTTTGCTTAAGAATGTAATAAATAGGGGCGCCTGGGTGGCTTAGGGGGTTAAGCCTCTGCCTTTGGCTTAGGTCATGGTCTCAGGGTCCTGGGATCAAGCTCTCTGCTCAGTGGGGAGCCTGCTGCCTCTCTGCCTACTTGTGATCTCTCTCTCTCAAATAAATGAATAAAATCTTAAAAAAAAAAAAAGTAATAAATATACCTTGTTGCCTTACCTCTTAAATATTAAGATCTTATCACTACACACAAGAAAGTCAACCTGAGTTTACCCTAAGTAACTAATTAGAACTCCTTGTCTCATTTGTTAATGAGTTTAATAATATTTTTTCCTGCTATTATTAAAAATACCAGTGGAATTCGTTTCTGAGGCTTTAAGAAAGCTATAAACTTTAAAGGGTTTTTTGGCAAATCAAAGTAAACCTTTTTTTTTTTTTTCTTTAAAAGTCTTTTGGATATGCTGAAACTAGAAGGAAAAATGATGAATGGCCTCCGCAACCTTGGGATCATCAAAGAAGATGTTAGCAGATTTTTAAAATTAAACTCCCATGTTTTGGACCATACCTATGCGTTAGATATTAGGCATTCTTCTATAGTGGTAAGTGCTTATGTAATTCTTTGTTTTTAAAAACTTCAGATTTAAGACTTAGCTTAAAACCAAATATTGGCAGGCTTTCAAATAAATGTAAGCATTTTGAAAGAGGCTGCAGGAGAACTCAGTGAGAAAAAAGGTAAAAATACAGACTCATCTGCCTCTCATTCTCTTATCTTCTCTCCCCTCCTTCCTGTTCTCTGCATTTCCTCTCAAGAACTCACTCCTTTAGGATCCTTTCCAGCTTTAAAAACAAACACAAACAACCAAGTAACCCCATAAAGAACAGCAGCAAAACATCAAATAATTAGAATCTGAAGAATGTAAGAATACCACCTACTATGGTGAGAACCCTGCCTGGCTGGCTCACGGGGCCTCCGAGCGTTCTGGTCTGTGCTGCTGCCTGCGGGAACTGGTTGTCTGCTCAGCTCACCCCTGCTTGCGGCCGGGATGCGGTCCCATCCTCCGTGTGGCCAGTGAGGCTGTCCGTGGCCTTCTCCCTCCTCTCATTTCTCAGACTGTAAAGTACTCCTCTAGCCACTTTCCCTTCTCTCACACTGGGGAAGCACTATTTCCCCTCTCTGTCCAGTCAGCTCCCACTCTTTCTTCAGGCTTCTGCTCCAGACAGTACTTCTGAGAGAAGCCCACCTCAGCTACCCAGGTTGGAAAATGGTCGTAGATGCACTGTATCGAGGAGCCCCAGGGTCAGCCTCAGGCCCAGTGATGTGCTAAAACGACTCAGGAAGCTAGAAGTTGTTACAGTCATGGTTACAGTCTGTCAGAGCAGCAGAACACAAGCAGTATCAGCGGAGGGAGAGAGAGCATGGGGCAAAGTCCAGAGGAAACCAGGCAGGAGTTTCCAAGAAGGGGCTCCTCATGCAGTCGTAGATGACGTGCTTGATCTCATGTGTGACGATCCGTGCCAGGCTAGCTGGAGCCGGGAGTACAGGGCTCGGAAAGAGGTCTGTCCTATGAGCATATAATGCCCATGTGACTGATCTCTGTCACTGAAGCTCCCGACCCTCAGAGGAAAGCTCGGGTTCATCCTAATGTTCCCAGAAACTCCATACAAACCTCCACAGCATGTAGCAAGACCCTCAGCGTGGGAGAAACTCTGTCAGAACATTTCAAGAGTGAGTTCTCAGAAGCCAACCTAGAACCTTTGTCACAGAAGCAGGTCCTCCTAGGGAATATGCAAGGTGTGAGCAAGCTGGCCAGCTGAGTTAACCTTACCCCCCAACATATACACATGTGCGTGCACACACACACGTGTGTATATACATGCATTTCTATCATGTTACAGAACTACCACTCCTTCCATATACTTTGCACAGTGAATTATTATAATTTATAATTTTCTCCTGTGATTCTTTGATGTCTTTTTTTCCTTTTTTTTAAATTTTTTATTTTATTAACATATAATATATTGTTAGCCCCTGGGGTACAGGTCTGTGAATCGCCAGGTTTACACACTTCACAGCACTCACCATAGCACATACTTTCCCCGGTGTCCATAACCCAACTACCCTCTCCCTACCCTCCTCCCCCCGGCCCCCCTTAGTTTGTTTTGTGAGATTAAGAGTCTCTTATGGTTTGTCTCCCTCCCGATCCCATCTTGTTTCATTTATTCCCTTCCTACCCCCCAAACCCCCCATGTTGCCTCTCAACTTCCTCATATCAGGGAGATCATAATTGTCTTTCTCCGATTGACTTATTTCGCTAAGCATAATACCCTCTAGTTCTATCCACATCATCGCAAATGGCAAGATTTCATTTCTTTTGATGGCTGCATAGTATTCCATTTTTTATATATTTATATATATATCACAAATATATATATACACACCATACACACACACACAGACGTGTGTGTGTGTGTGTGTGTGTATACACACACCACATCTTCTTTATCCATTCACCTGTTGATGGACCTCTAGGTTCTTTCCATAGTTTGGCTATTGTGGACAGTGCTGCTGTAAACATTTGGTTGCACGTGCCCCTTCGGATCACTACATTTGAATCTTTAGGGTAAATAGCCAGTAGTGTAATTGCTGGGTCGTAGGTTAGCTCTATTTTCAACTTTTTGACGAACCTCCGTGCTGTTTTCCAGAGTGGTTGCACCAGCTTGCATTTCCACCAATAGTGTAGGAGGGTTCCCCTTTCTCCGCATCCTTGCCAGCACCTGTCATTTCCTGACTTGTTAATTTTAGCCATTCTGCATGTCTTTTTTTCTTACTAGACTATATAAACATCTTGAAAGTAGGAATTTTATCCATTTTTTTCCTCACCAGTCAGTCCCTGGTTTTAGTAGGTACTCAATAAATATAAATATTCTTTGAACAAATAAGTAAATATGTATCTCAAACCAACATAAAACGTAATTGTTAACAATGGAACTCTGAGAGCATTCTTATTACAGCATAATCAATATAAATATGTCCATATCACTATTTTGATTTACCATTAGTATAAAAGGTATAACTATTAGAAATGAGAAAATAATCACATGGCAGATTATATAAGTAAAACTCCTCCAAAACAACATTTTAATCAATAAGACCTTAGAATAGGTTTGAAGTGACAGTAAGCAGATAAAAAGCTTTATTTCCAAAAACCATTTGGAGGACATGGTGATTTATTCATATTAACATAAAAATTAATATCTTTACTACTAATAATAGCCAGTTTAAAAAAAAACACCCCTGCAGCTTAACTGAGGAAATGCAGAAGCATAGAAGGATGCCCAGAAAGAGTAGAAATTGGAGCAGACTTGGAAGCAGTCATGGTTATGGCGTCCTTCCAGCATTGACAGCTTTTGATCTAAGTAATTTCACTGGAAACCACTATCAAGAAATAGTAGGAAATGGAGAAAAGTATTCATTCCCAAAGATATGATCATCACTGCGTATTCTTAAAATAGAAATGAATTAAATATATAACAGAAATATTGTAAATTGTATATCCCATGTGCTCAGGTATGTTATTCAGACATCAGAATTATGCTTATAATCATGCTTCCATGGAATCATGGAACAGTGGCTGTTCTTGCATGTTAAGTAAGAAATTACAGAACTACATTACATGATACTATCATGTGAAAAGATGGACAGAAGATCCAAATGAAATAAATCAAAATGTTCTTATTAATGGGTGATATGGTTTAATAGGTAGTTGGGTTTTTTTCTTCATGCTCTTATGAAAATTCCAAATTTTTAGCAATGGGTATGTATGACTTACATGATCAGAAAAAAAAAAGGAAAAAAACATCTCTGACCATCTTGTTAATTGTCTCATATAAAAATTTAAAAGATAATCTTGGAAATGTTCCGTAATCATGGAAGGATAACATCACTAACGAAATGCTGTATATTCCCTGGAGTCATGAAGACCTTAGACTCAGGACAAGTTACATAAGTTCTGAATTAGTTACCACTGTATTTTCCGGAGCAAATATTCATTGTTACTGTTTTCCTGCTCTTGAGAACATATTCTCTCATTGGCCAGAGTTTACTTTAACTTGGATATCTTTAAGCTCAATTAACAAACATCTCCTCTAAAAAGGTTTGATCAGAAAAAGAAATGACTGTGTTAGTAATCTTAATACTTTGGGACTTTTGTTTTAAGCATTTATGCTTAATTTTAAGCATTCGTAGAAGAGCATTGAGAGCATGGGCCATGGTAAGGAAAGGAGGGCAGTAAGTTTCAAGACTACTCTGGAGAAGAAATACATCTATAAGGAAACTTTGCAGCTCCATTTGTAAACATCCTGGTCCTCCCAGGTTGGCAGCAGAGGCCAGTCATTGTGGGGGAGGAGCAGCCCTGCTTCGGTCCCCATCACCCACACCCGGTCCGCTCCCCCACTGCTCTGCTGTAAGGGCTCTGACCCTGGCCCAGCTCTTGGATGCCTGAGGAGGTGTTCTCGATAAGAGTGTTGGGAAGTAATTTTTTTTATTGAGGTAAAATATATATAACATAAGATACGCCCTTTTAACCTTTTTAAGTATGTGACTTGCTGGCATTAAGTACATACACAGTGTAAAATCATTACCAGGATCCATTTTCCCAGAGTCTTTTCATCATTCCAAACAGAAACTATACCCGTAAAGCGGTAACTCCCCACTCCCTTCTCTGCAAGCTCCCTGGTAACCTCAGTTCTGCTTTCTGTCCCTACGGATTTGCCTTTTCTAAGTGCTTCATAAAAGTAAAATTACTTAGTATTTGTCCATTCCTGCCTGGTGTATTTCATTAGGCATACTGTTGTCAAGGTTCATCCATGTTGTAGCATGTATCAGAATTTTATGTTTTTTTTAAGACTAAATAATAGCTTAATTTTTCAAGTACATATTTTTTTGCATGCTATTCATGGAAGTTTTGAGTCTTAATTAAATGCTTTTGCTTTTCCACTTGGAAAGTGCCCGCTTTCCATAGATAATTATATGTGACACTTTATTCTCTAGATTCCTTTAAAAAAATGAATTGACACAGGGCACCTGGGTGGCTCTGTCCATTGAGCATCCTATTTTTTATCTCAACCCAGGTCTTGATCCCAGGGTCGTAAGTTCAAGCCCCATGTTGGGCTCCACACTGGGCACGGAGCCTACTTAAAAAAAAAGAAAACTTAACTGCGCAAAATGCAGAGCCCTGACTTCTGAGCACTCTTGTCACTTTGGTCAGTTAGAGCAGCAATGCACTTACCTCACACTTCAGCTTGATTTTGGCTTCATAGCATTTGCTCCCACCCAATATGATATGCATTTGTTCATGTAGAATCTTCCTCCAGTGGAGTGTAAGCTGCACAAAAACCAGGAGTTGGTTAGATATCCTCAGCATCCATCAGGTGCCATCACATAGGAAGCAGTCAGAAAATCTGTTGGCTATCTTAATGCTAAAACAGAGTTATTCAAGAATGAAAGCAATACTTGCTTTTAATTTTTTTTCTCCCCCTGGATCTGTCTCTCCACTTTTTGTCTTCGCAGAGAAAGCTGGGTCACTGAGTTACATTACTTCTGACCTCTGAATTTATACCCTCCCCCAAAACAAACCTTGGCAGTTTTTTTCTTAAAAGTTGCACAACAGTTGAGTAAAAACTCAAGAGAGTCATTGGGCATTCTCCTATCCCTGGTAAGCCATTCTAGGTGTCTCTGTTCCAGACATCAGAAGACACAATTTGAATTTTATGTAGTTTAATTTCCTGTTTCTAGCCTTGCCACAGTACCTCAGGTTTCTCTTATTTCGTTAAAGTCAGTAAAAACAACCATATGATTGCATGTTTGGCTCCTTTGGATTATAATTGCTTTTCAGTCCTCTGTGCCAGACCACCCACAGGGGAGGGGGCTTCGGTCATATTCCACCTAAATTACCCTGCCCCTAGTCGCAGCTTTCTGTTTTCTGCCCTGTGATATCCATGCTGTAGCCATATTCCTGAGGTGCTTATGATCATTTTCTTTGATTTCCTTTTCCTGAAATTTCCCAAGTCACCCTAGCCATTTGTCATTCTCTCAAAACAATTCTAATTCTTCATTTTTGTCACCAAGATGGCAGTGGTAAGATTCAAAACTGATAAACACCAATCAGCACAGGGAGAGGAAATGATTTCTTTATCCAGGTTAAGGATGCAACTTGCTACTGACAGTGGGCCCCACCACAGACACTGAGTTTACCCCTAGACTCACAGTTTGGTTCCATTGATCTATCTCATCTCCTTATGCAAACACCAGAGTGATTACTGTAGCTTTGGAGTAAGTTTTGAAATTGGGAATTGTGAGTCCTCCAACTTCGTTCTTTTTCAAGATTATCTTGGCAGTCCTACAACTCTTGCTTTCATTATGAATTACAGCATCAGCTTGTCCATTTCTGGAAAAAAAAAAAGATAGTTGGAATTTTTAGTGACATGTCATTGAATATATAGATAGTTTAAGGAATATCACCATTTTAATAAATTGAGTCTTCTGATCCATGAATATGGGATGTCTTTCCATTCATTCACATCTTCTTTATTTCGGTGATGTAGCTTTTGTAGCTTTCAGTATACAAGTCTCATACTTGTTAAACCTATTTCTAAGTATTTTATCCTTCCTGTTGCTATTGTAAATAGAAATATTTTCTTATGTTTGTTTTAGGATTTTTCAGTGCCTCTTAATTTTTTATTGAAAACTGGGCATTTTGAATATTACAGTATGGCACTTCTGCAAGTCAGATTCTCACCTTCCCTGAGGTTGTTTTTGCTGTTTGTTATTGTTTTTGTTACTTGTTGAGTGACTTCTCTGAACTAATTTTGTAAAGCCTGTGTTCATTCTTATGTGTGGCCACAGAAGTCTGTTAGTCTGCCTAGTCATCTACTCAGTATGAGACAGAGATTTACTTAAATGCCTGGACCCCAGAACTCCCAGTCTTGCATAGGGGCTCTGTGTGTTTGTGTGGCACATGACCTGTGGTGGGGGAGGGGACACACGGGAAGTAGACCATGTCTGACCCTCAGCCAGGCAGCTTGCATCCGCCTCAGCCTTCACTTGTTGCTTACACAGAGCTTCAGAGTCAACCAGAGGAAGGAACCTGGGGCTTTTCAGTCTTCCCTGGGCAAGTGCACGACCTTTTAGAATCCCAGGAATACTTCAGAACTTCTCAAAGCCGTTTCCCAAAACATTTCGGTCCCCAGGCTTTCCTCATTAGATTTTGGTTGCTCTCCTTTCGTCCCAAAGGTTTTCTGTTGCTGCAGGCAGGAGCAACTAAAGCATTTTCCTGTAATTATTTTCCACAAAAATGGGGTAGCAGCTCTAACACTGGTATGAGTTAAGATATAGACAAACCTTTTTAGTGGGTTTTCTGGGGAGTCAACCGGCAGTTCAAACAAAAATTAAATCCTTTCAGAATGTGGTCTGTTCTGCTTTCTCCAGTATTGATACTGGAATTGGAGCTGTCATTGTCAAGGCTACTGAATAAGCTTAGGAGCATGAGATGGGACCAGGATAAGTTTCACACCACATATCTCACAGTTCTGACTGAGACTCAGCCATTTTTCTTGAATAAATGCTCTCAAGTTTGCTGCAAGTTTTCGATTTTGGTTAGTTTTCGTAGTTCTTAATATGTTGAGTTCCCCTCGATTTTCTAGTTTCTTATTGCTTTTGTGTCAGGGTGGAGTTTTGAAATTCCTTACTCAGCCATTTTAGCTGATGTCACTCCCTAGAGAAAATACAAAAGATGTCAATTTTACATCTTTTAAGTTATTCGCATCTCTCAGAAAGTCATCCACTAACACCATGACCCATCTTATGTCCATCTGCTAAACTTTGTAGCTCCTTGGACAGTGAAGAGAATGTCTTACACGTTCTAATCTACTAATGACGAAGTCTTTTCTTCAGTGTCTTGGTAGCACGGTAGATGCAAAGGCCAGAGTATGGCCAACAAAACAAATAGCAGCAGATCACTGGAGTGTCATGTCACTGCCAGCCAGTTCTGCATGCAGGTCTGGGAGGCTGCTCTTCCAGTTAGCGTTGCTGCTTCTGTAAATTTACCTGAGAGTAAAAAATGGGCAGTTCAGTCTCTGGGCCTGTGCGAAGCGATTTCAGTCTTCCTTCTGAAGCCCCTGCTTCTGACGTGGTTAAATACTCCCCAAAACCTCGTGTCTGGACCACCGCAGAGGCCGCCTGATTTCCTGGGCACCACGGATCTCTCTCTGCTCTCCTCTGGGATGGTCAGCAGCACTCGCTAGACCGCATGCCTCTGTTGTTCATCTCTCTCACCCTTCGTTCTGATTTTGCAATGTTTCTTTTCTCTGTGCACTTGAGTTAATATACTCTGTATTGTTCTCTCATCCAGTCGACTGATCACTGTCTTCCTCTATGTCCGCTCTGCAGTCAAATCTTCTTTAGAAGTTCTTACAGTTCTTAATTACAGAGTTTTAAAATCTAGATATCCCTTTGGCTCTTCTTGTAATGGATTTTTAGTTCTCTTAACATTTTCCATCTTTCCATCTATTTTTGTTCTTTTTAAAATATATATATAATAATCATAATTATTTTAAAGTCCTTGTCTAAGTCCCTCTGTATTGCCTGGTTTTTCTCTTGTATTTTAATATTTGGTCCTTTTTTTTTTTTTGCATGGCAGCTTTTTTTTTTTTTTTTTTTTTTTTTTTTTTTTTTTTTT